TCTCTCTCAGTCTCTCTCCCAGCAGTGATTGTCTCTCAGTGACTCTCAGCAATTCATGTCTCTTGTGTCTCTCTCAGCAATGTGTGTCTCTTGCATCTCTTTCTCAGCAACGTATGTCTCTTGTGTCTCTCTCTCTCAGCAATGCTTGTCTCTCAGGAGTGCATTTCTCTCAGCAGCACATCTTTCTTAGCCAGCAGTCAGAAAGACTCTTTCTGCTTCTAGGAGGGCTCCTTTTGAGCCTGGCAGAGTGGCTAAACTAACCAATCATAACATCAGAATTCTAAACACCTGAGAGAGAGCGAACTTCCCAGAACATTGCTTTGTGCCACTCTCAACAGGTGGATAACTTTAACAATCAGGAGCTCCTCAGTTGCTCATGGCAAATTCCACCATGGAGTTTACAAAGACTTATAGCTAGAAAAGCCATACCTGGTAATTTACTAAACCACAGCATACATCAACATGGAACTGCCAGAAATTCAAACCAAATTCAAAAGAGGATGTAGAACAAGGGATATCATTGCTGATGTCAAATGGATCTTGGCTGAAAGCAGAGAATACCAGAAAGATGATTACCTATGTTTTATTGACTATGCAAAGGCATTTGACTGTGGATCAAAACAAATAATGGATAACATTGTGAAGAGTGGGAATTCCAGAAACCTTAGTTGTGCTCAAGGGGAACCTGTACATAGACCAAGAAGCAATCTTTGGAACAGAACAAAGGATACTGCATGGTTAAAATCAGGAAAGGTATGTATCAGGGTTGTATCCTTTTGCTGTGCTCACTCAATCTGGATGCTGAGCATATAGTCCAAAAATCTGGAGTATATGAAGAAGAACGTGGCATCAGGATTGGCAGAACATTGATTAACAGCCTTCATTATGCAGGTGACACAATCTTGCTTGCTGAAACTGAAGAGGACTTGAAGCACTTACTGATGAAGATTTAAGACTACAGCCTTCAGTATGATTACACTTCAACATAAAGAAAACAAAATCCTCACAACTGGACCAGTAATCAACATCATGATAAATGGATTGACATTGTGAAGGATTTCATTTTACATGGAACCACGGTCAACCCTCATGGAAGCAGCAGTCAAGAAATCATACAACGTATCGCATTGGGTAGATCTGCAAAAGATCTCTTTACAGTGTTAAAGAGCAAAGATGTCACTTTGAAGATTAAGCCACCTCATATACATGTGAAAGCTGGCTAATGCATAAGGAAAACCAAAGAAGAATTGATGCATTTGAATTACAGTGTTGTTGCTGTTACATGCTGTGCCATCAAGTCGGACCCCACTCATAGTGACCCCTCCTTGGGTTTCCAAGGCGGTATTACTACGGAAGTAGATTGCCCAACCTTCCTTCTGAGGAGTGGCTGGTGGGTTTGAACCACCAGCCTTCTGGTTAGCAGTCAAGTGCCTTAGGCACTGTGCTACCAGAGCTCCTAATTATAGTGTTAGCCAACAATATTGAATATACCATCGACTGCCAAAAGAATGACTGAATCTGTCATGAAAGAAGTATAGCTGGAATGCTTTTTAGAAACAAAGATGGTGAGATTTAATCTCTTGTGATTTGGTCATATTATTTTGATGGCCCAATCCCTAGAAAAGGATATTAACCCACTGCTATTGAGTTGATTCCCACTCATAGTAACCCCCATTGGGTTTCCAAGGCTGTAAATCTTCATGGAAGTAGATTTCCTCATCTTCCTCCCATGCAGCAGCTCGTGAGTTTAAACCACAAATCTGGTTAGCAGCCAAGTGCCTTACCCATGAAGCCACCAGAGCTCCTTAGAGAAGGATATTATGCTTGGTAAAATAGAGGGTTAGCGAAAGAGGAAGACCCACAATGAGACAGAAGGACACTGATTACAACAATGAGCTCAAGCACAGCAACAATTGTGAGGATGCCATAGGAATGGGCACTGTTTTGTTATGTTGTGCATGGGGTCGTTAGGAGTTCGAACTGACTTTCTGGCACTTAACAACGGCAACAACAAAAGATTGTCATGAAATTTACATGAAATAATAGATATAATGCTCTTAAAGTAGTGCCTGGTACACTACATAAACTAGATAAAATACATTTCAATAAATTAATAAATACTAGATAAAATTACTTATATTTAAATAATAATAAAAACCATACCACTTCGGACTTATTCAAGATATTCATGTATCTAGTCCACAAATGTGTATAATGATTCCAGTTATCTTGAAATAAAGGATATCACTTTTCATATATCTATGTTAATTATTTTTAATTATGTACATATTAAATGTAAGTAATTGTTAAGTGGTTTATTTGCTTATATCTATTGTAGAGTCCTAAAAAGATAATTTCTTTTTGGCAATGATTCTTAAATTTTAGTATGCATAAGAAAAACCTGGTGAATGACTAAAAAGCTGGCTTTGAGGCCTTTTCTGAATAAGCATCTTTGCAGTGGTAAGTCTACATTTTAAAAAACATCCCATTAGCAAAGTCTAATAGTATACTGAGGGGCTCATCTTCTGGCACACAATGTGGAAGTTATCAAACAATATCATTAATATAACACACAAGTAGAATCTTGCTGAAGATAATTCAAAAGTGGTTGCAGCATTATATTGACAGGGAACTTCCAGAAATGCAAGCTAGATTTAGAAGAAGACAAGGAAAGAAGGATATCATTGTAGATGTCAAATGGATCTTGATTGAAAGTAATGAATACCAAAAGTTGTTTACTTGTGTTTTATTGACTATGCAAAAGCATTCAACTCTGTGGATCCTAACAAATTATGGATAACATCGAGAAGAATGGGAATTCCAGATCACTTAGTTGTGCTCATGAGGAACCTGTACATAGACCAGGAGGCTGTTGTTTGAACAGAAAAGGGGATACTGCATGGTTTAAAATCAGGAAGGGAGTGCATCAGGGTTGTATCCTTACACCATACTTATTCAGTATGTATGCTGAGCAAATAATCCAAGAAGCTGGACTATATGAAGAAGAATTTGGCATCAGGATTGGAGGAAGAGTCATTAACAACCTGTTATATGCAGATGACACAACTTTGCTTGCTGAAAGTGAAGATGACTTGAAGCACTTACTGATGAAGATTAAAGACTATGGTCTGCAGTATGGATTACCCCTGAATGTAAAGAAAATGAAAATTCTCACAACTGGACCAATTAACAGCATCATGAGAAATGGAGAAATGATTGAAGTTGTCAAAGATTTCATATTACTTGGATCCAACGGAAGCATCAGTCAAGAAATCAGATGGCATATTGCATTGGGCAGATCTGCTGCAAAAGACCTCTTTATAAAGTGCTGAAGAGCAAAGATGATGTCTTTGAAGACTAAGGTGTGCCTAACCTGAGCCAATGTGTTTTCAGTCACCTCATATGTATGTGAAAGCTAGACAATTAATAAGGAAGACTGAAAAATAATTGATGCATTTAAGTTGGGTTCGCAAAAAATACAGAAAGTGCCATGGGCTACTAGAAGCACTAACAACCCTGTCCTGGAAGAAGTGCAGACAGAATACTCCTTAGAAGTGAGAATGGCTAGACTTCATCTCACCTACTTTGGTCATGTTGTCAGAAGGGACTGTTCCCTGGAGAAGGATGTCATGCTTGGTAAAGTGGAGGGTCAATGAAAAAGGGGAAGCCCCTCAACAAGATGGATTGACACAGTGGCTGCAACAATGGGTTCAAGTATGGCAAGGATTGTGCGGCTGGCACATGACTGGGCAGTGTTTTGTTCTGTTGTACATAGGGTTGCTATGAGTCAGTGTGGCTTGCCGGCACATAACAACAACAATAGTATACTTGAAAGATCTAGATCTCAAACCTTTCATGCTAAGAAAGTTTCTGTCTACACATGTCCATGTTGTTAGATGCCCTCGAGTTGCTTTTGAGTCATAGTGATCCTGAGTGATGATGTACACCTGGCTGTAATCTTTACCAGAGCAGACCACTAGGACTTTTCTCCCACCATGCTGCTAAATGAGTTTGAACTGCTGAACTTCAGCTGAATGCTTAACCATTTTTCTATAAAATGCCCACAAAAGCGCTTAAAAAATCTCAAGTACTTATCAGGTCAGTCTTTAAATCTTTGTGCATTTTTTATTTTGTTTTGTTTAATACCAGCTTATTGTAGAATGAGGAACTCTGACATTATTAATGTACTTACTTTATTTTTGTTTTCAAAGAGAAGAAAATGAAAGGAGACCATATGTTTAAATGATCTCTTGCTTAAAAAACATAATAGCAGCCCAAAAAACCTCTTTAAGCATAGCTATGTGTTTTGGTTGACTAGTGCCACTCTAACAAAATACCACAAATGGGTAGCTTCAGTGAAGAGGGATTTTTTTTCCTTTACAGTTTGGATGCTAGAAGTCCAAGTTCAAAGTTCCAGCTCAAGGAATTGGGTGAAGGCCCCTTGACCTTGGGCTTCAGCTTTGCCTCTTGCTATTGCCCCACTGAAGCTAGAGGCTTCTCTTAACTCAGGTAGCTGGTGGCTGAGTCTGACAAACCCAAGGCTGACAAGTGAAATGGCACAGTCCCACGATTATCAAGCAACACAGCAGGCCACTAGTTAAACAGTCCCAAGATCAACAGACAACATGGCAGACCACTGATGACTGGGTCAAATTCAGGATCTAGATGTGCCAAAAAGCTCAAGACCTTTCTCAAAGCTTCTTCTTATATACTGGAAGCAGACCACATCCCTAAGGCAGCTACTTAGCAGGTCATAGTTAGATTCCACCATGGTGTTGATTACCAGTCTCATCGGGGGGAATAACTACATCCAGCTGCCTAGCCACTTAAAACCAGGCCCAACCAAGTTGACACATAACCTTAACTACCACACTAAGTTTAACTGATCATTGATGTTGAGCATCACCTTGAGGTTCATGCTTGCAAACTAACACATTTCTAGGTCTTCTATTTAGATTGCTTAACAAAGATCTTAATAACGGATTTTCTCTTTATTTTAGAGGATGCTAAAGGCACACACTCCCTGATGCCTGAATTCAAAGTTCGGGAGAGAGCAATGTTAGAGTCATTGCATCGCTTTGGCATGACAGAGGAAGGCTGTATCCAGGCATGGTTCTCTTTTCCCCATTCTATGCGTATATTCTACGTGCATGCATATAGCAGCAAAATTTGGAACGAAGCAGTATCTTACAGACTTGCAACCTATGGATCCAGAGTAGTGGAGGGTGATTTGGTCCATTTGGATGGAGATGTTGACAATGAGCATTTCTCAAATAGTAAAGTAAGTATAAATTCCAAATGTAGTTCCCAGAGTTAATTTTGGTAATTAATTTTCTGAAGGCTGTACTTTATTTTTTTCAATACATTTTATTGAAATATAATTTATATACAGTGAGATACACAAAACTAAAGTGACATGAGTCAATGTGTTTTTTTGGGGAGGCAGTGTTCCCTCCCCTCCCCTCCCACCAGAAGGCCTTACTTCAGAAACAGATTTAAACTAAAGAGATGTTTTATTTTTTCACTTACATTTGCTTTTCTCCTGCTTCTTTTCTGCTGTCAGCTGAGGCTCAACGCTTATCAGCAAATGGAAATTTTCATTGGAATGAAATGAAAGGTACAAAGGTAGTAAAGCTTCCTTTAAAGACATTTAAAGAAAATTGCATAAGTAATACACCAAACAGTTCCCTTAAAAAAAAAAATTGAAACATTACAGATGAGGCTGGCATCCTATCGTGATTCTCTCTGCTCTAGGTAATCAGAGTCTGTTGTTTGACAGTGCCCTTCTAGAGCTTTTGCTATGTAACTATCTACAGAAAAGTTATTTTTTGTTTCCTTTATATAAATGTGATTTCACAGTGTTTTTGAGATCTCTTTATATTATATATAAATCTAGCTTATTCCTTTCAATTGTTGTATAGTTTTTGATACTATGAGTGTATCAAGTTTTATTGAGCCAATAACTTCAAAATTTGTTACAATATTTTAATGCAAAAAGAACAAATTATTTTCTGACATCATCCTAAATCAATCTTGCAAATTAATTTAAAAAAATTGTAAAAGGAATTTAAGTAGTGTTTTTATATGTAACATCTTAAAAATCATTGGTTACTACAGCAAAAAAAAAAAAAAAGAGAAGGATTTGAGACCTTCTCTTCTCACTTGCATTTTATAGAAACAAAAATTGAGACCCAGATTATAGAGGAGACAGCTTCAGAGTCATATAGGTAAGAGATCTAAAATGACCCCATTGGACTGACCCATACCCCAAATTGGTTTCTACTCGAGAAATCATGGATCTGGTTAGAACATGTTCCAGTTTTTCAGAATAAGAGAAAAATAGGCTCTGGGAAGCTACATAAAAGCAGCTTTGTGTAAAGTCACGAAACAGTTTAGATGTATGGATTAAGTTTTTTTGGTTTCAAACTAACAAGGAAAAACAAACAGGAATGTATTGGCCCATAAAACTGAAGGTGTATGATTGGTCCAGGCACAGCTGTATCCAGTGTCCTAAATAATTTATCTTATTTTCTTTATTATTCAGTTCTGCTTCCCTGTGTGTTAGATCCACTTTTGATGTAGCTTATTCCTTTGTTGGCAAGATTGATATTAATAACTCTGTGTTTATATTATATCTTGAGAACTCTGGTGGCATAGTGCCTAAGGCTAACCAGAAGGCTTGGTGGTTCAAACCCACCAGCCACTCCTCGGAAGAAAGATTGGGCAATCTGCTGTAGTAATACTGCCTTGGAAACCCAAGGAGGGGTCGCTATGAGTCGGATCTGACTCAATGGCAGTGAGTTTTTTTTTTTTTTTTTTAATGTTTATTTCTTAGAACCCCTGCAGGAAAGAGGCCTTTTCTTCTCTAGTAATTTTAGTGACAGTAAATGGCCTGGTGTGGATCACATGTCTAGACCCAGACTAACTCTTGTGAACCAGAGTATATGATTGGCTAAGCTTATGTTACCTATGTTACTTCCTGGTGCCATCCCACCCAAACCACATTTGAGAATCAGGAGCAGAAGCTCCATATGGGAAATGTGGGTGCTACTACCAGAAAAGAGAGTGAAGATTGAGCTAGCCAAAACGATAGAACTTTGCTTTAATACTTCTTTAAATGAATGGTTTATGAATATGTAGAAAGGGAATGATCACTAGGAGGCAGCATAAATTACTAAACCTGTTATCATAGGGTCAATTCTGACACATGGTGACCTCGTGTGTGCAGAGTAGAACTGAGCTCCATAGAATTTTCCTGGCTATAATCTTTATAGAAACAGATCTCCAGTCCTTTCTCCAGTGGCACACCACTGGGTGAGTTTGAACTGCCAACCTTTTGGTTAGTAGTTGAATATAAATCATTTGTTCCACCCATGGATCATACATAAATTAGTAAGAATGTTAATGTAATTAAGATACAGAATCACATACTCTGTGAAAAGGAAGTCCAGCACCATCATGGTTTTATTTTCCTTCATGTGAATGGAGAAAGAAATATGTCATTGATTTCTTTTTGATAAATAATCAAAAATCATGGGTTTTTATACTTTGTAGAAATCAGCTATCAATTTCAATATGACCTGGGCAATACACTGTTAAGTAAGCCATTTCTAAGTCAGATTTTTAGAGGTTAAATGTTACTTTGACAAGGCATAATAGCAGTCTCAGAGGTGCATGTCTTATAAGACTTCCTTGTTCAAAATACATTTGCAAGAACAGTTTTGTGATCAAAATTGTATCTGCTTTTCTTTTTGGAGCTTCATAACTAAAAAGTGTCCTTTTATTAGCAGAAAGAAGTATCTGTGTGTTTCAAGACCAGCCATTTTTATTATGTTATTTAGCACTGAAAAAGGAAAACAGAATTTAGAGGCTCAAAACTTAAAATATGAAAACGGAAAGGAGAAAATAAGATTTTTAATAAGTTGTATATGGGGCATGTAATATTTTGCATCTACAAGTGAAAACTGTAGGAAAATACTCTGATTCTTTCTTTTGACAAAATTACTAGACTGATAGGTATATCATTATTTCAAGATACTAGGTAGATTTTCTTATAATTTTTTTGTGGGTCATATGGAGGAATGTGGGTTAGACAGTGAAAATGTTATGTAAAGTCATAGTTTGGGAGCAACTATAAAGCCAAAACATTTTTGTTAATTAACTGATTGACAGCTACCTGGAAGGAGTTCTCTAAAGACAACTCATGGTGTCCTGTACTTGACCATGTTTTGTTCAATATTTTTATAAATTTACTAAACTTACTGAATAGTAAGTAGTCTTCTATGATTTTTTAAAAGACAAAAAAGCTGGAAGTGATAATTCAAGAGAGCTCATAGTGTCATGTATTTTTGTCCTGGTCAGACCACATCTGGGGTTTTACATCTACTTTTGAGTAGTTATTTACCAACCACCGAACCAACCAACAAACTCAAAATAAAAAACCAAAGAGGGACATTAGTGATATGAGTAAGGAGAACTGAGGGGAAAGCAAGCAGACGTAGAGGGGGTCTAGATACTATATTAATGATGAATGCTTTAGACGTAAGGGGATGCTGCTGTTCATCCTGGTGGAAAGATGAGAGCTGCCTTTACTCTTGAGCTCTCATGTGGAAGAAAGAGCAGATTATTCTGTAATATCTCAGAGGAACATCACTCAAACTTAATTTATCACACATCTTTTCTCCTGCATAACACCTGTTAATACTCTGTTGTTGTGTGCTGTCAAGTTAATTCTGACTCACAGGAACCCTGTGTGACAGATTGAACTGCCTCAGAGTTTTCTAGGCTGTAATCTTTACAGAAACAGATTGTCTGATCTTTCTCCCACAGGGCCCCTGGGTGGGTTTGAACTGCCAACCTTTCAGCTAGCAGCCAACACCACTCCAGCATAGTGTATTATGATCTTATTAGGGGCAGAGTTGTTTCAAAGGAGCGGATTTTTGACTTAGCATGATAAAGTATAGTTCCATAATTTAGAAAAACATTGTTGGTGACTGAGGTTAAAGTATCACCTCAGAGTCTTAGTCTGCCCATCATTTTTGATGCATTACCACTTTAGTCATTAGTTGTTAAGTAGAAGGACTCGTTCTAATTTTTATTGGAGTCTACACCTCCAGAGATAAATTGTGCAAAGATCTTGTTTAGGTATGTGTATATTTTATGTAGAAGTTGAATTAAACATAACAGGAAAAATTGAGGGAATTTGGAAAACTTGGGAATCACTGTATTTTTAATTTATTTTTTAAAATAGGTTCATCTAGTAACTGAAGAAGAGGAATCAGCTAATACTTATGCAATGCATCAGGTAATTTGCTTAAAAATTAGTATCACTTAGGTCTAAGTGTAGACATTTATTCCCAAAAGAAAAAATGTTGACTACTCCCTTTTAAAAATTATGTTTAAGGAATAATTTATATATAATAAAATTCACCCTTCTTAGTTTATAGTTCTTTGAATTTTGGTAAATTTATTGAGTTGTGTGACTACCACTGAAATCAACAATAGAACAATTCTACATCTCCCTAAAATTTCCCATGTTTCTTTGTAGTTAACCCTTCTCTACATCCCCAGCATCTGGCAACCACTGATTTATTGTCTGTTCATATGGTTTTGCCTTTGAAAAAATGTTGTATAAATGGAGTCATACAGTATATAGCCTTTTGTATTTGGCTTCTTTCATTTAGCAGTGAGTTTGAGATTCATTCATGTTGTTGTGTATATTTGAGTTTTTTTACCTTGTTCCTTCTTCTGACTACTTTTTTTGGTACAAATCAAGAGAAAGTATCTAGAAGTCAGCAGCAGAGAACTAAAACCCCACAGACTGCAGTGTTTGCTTATAGGTAGATGAGAAAATAAACATTATATTTGGTGCTACTTGTTTGCTTTCTTGTTTTTAAATAAGGAAGAATTTAAATTTGTCAACCAAAATACCCATTACATTCAGAAAGAATGTTTACCCTTTGTGTTACAGAAAGAATATGTGTATAATATTGCACGATTGAGTAAAGATTAAGTTTTTGTTGACTAATTAAATGTACTTAAACTTCTTGATTCATCTCTTCTGTATTAATAGTGATTTGCCAAATAAGATCTGATTTAAATTGTTAACCTTACTCTTCTGGTTACCTAGTGCTGCTCTGACAGCAATAAACCACCAATGGGTTGCTTGAACAAACAGCAGCTTATTCTCTTACAGTTTGGAGGCTATGAGTCCAAGTTCAAAGTGCCAGGCTCTAGGGGCTGGGTGAAAGCCCCGCAACCTTTGGCTTCAGCTCTACCTCCTGCTCCCAGCCCACTGAAGCTAGAGGCTTTTCTTCACTCAGACAGCTGCTGGCTGCTGAGGCTGGCTAGCCCAAGGTTGACAAGTAAAAGGGCATAGTCCCGATGTTACCAAACCACATGGCAGACCATTAATTCAAGTTCATTAAAAGTCCTAAGGTCGGCAGAGCATGGCAGGCTCCTGAACAATGACTCAGCTACATGCAGAGTTCAAGTGTGCCATAAACTAAAGACAGTTCCTCAAGGTTTCTTCTTATATACAGGAAGTAGACCACATCCCTATGGCAGCTATTCAGCTGCTCATGGTAGATTCCACCATGGAGTTGATTACCGGTCTCATCATAGGGAATACTACATCCAGCTGCCCAGCCACTCAACCAGGCCCAGCCAAGTTGACACACAAACTTCACCACCACACTTACTGTTTTTATTGATCTAGATCTCACCTATAAAAGTAAATTTAAACTATGATCATATACCTAACTGAAGGCTGTATTATGTATCTTTTCTTCTCCCCATTTGACAGGTGGTTCTTCCAGTACTTGGATACAATATTCAGTACCCAACAAACAAAGTAGGACAATGGTACCATGAAGTACTTAGCAGAGATGGACTACAGGCATGTAGGTTTAAAGTACCTGCTCTGAAATTGAATGCACCAGGATGCTATAGACAGATACTGAAATATCCTCATAATCTCTCTTACCAGCTAATAGAAGAGCATGATATTGATGTCAAAACAGAAGATTCTTACATTAATGAAGCAACTTCATCTCTTTTGGTCTCTTTTGATCTTGACTCTTCGTGTTATGCTACTGTTTGTCTGAGGGAAATAATGAAGCATGATGTTTAAGATAATACCCTTGATAGAATTATATATATATTACTGTTTGAAGGAAAGGAAGGTAAAATTGCTTGAGCATCTAGCATGTGCTGGAAGCTTCCTAATTGTTATCTTCTACACAGCATCTTGATGAATTAGTAATTTGATGCTGTACCGTTCCAGAGGAGTATGCTAGTAAGTGGCCATATCTGAATTTAAGCTTAGGTCTGCCTGATTCCAAAGCCTGAGCTCTTTCTATTATATTGTGTTTAGTAACCTTTATTCTGTGTCAAAAGCTACAACATTTTTGAACCACTAAAAACATAGTGCTAAAAACATTAGGAGCTCTGGTACCATAGTGGCTAAAGCACTAGACTGCTAACCAGAAGACTAGTGGTTCAAACCCACCAGCCACTCCTCGGAAGGAAGGTTGGGCAATCCTACTTCCGTAGTGATACTGCCTCAGAAACCCAAGGAAGGGTCGCTATGAGTCGGGGCTGACTTGACGGCAAACAACAACAACAACAAAAACATATAGTACCCCAAAATAATATTTAAGGAAGAAAAATTTAAGTAATGGTTATAGCTTCTAGCTGCTTGCTTAAAATGTAGGTGAAATTAGGTTACAGTAAAAACATGATTGTAGAGAAAGAGAGATGAAACATACTGTAATTTATTATGGTCTTTCTTTCCTATTTTTGAAATTATTGATTGAAAAAATACACAAGGGCAATATCATCCCCCTGTTAATGATAGCTACTCCATGTGGTCATTATACCTTGACGTAGATAATCTTTGATGAAGATTGACATCAGTGTTTTCATATAATTTCTGTATCTTGACATACATTGGCTTCTTGATTTCCTGTTATTTTTTTCTATTACATTAAGCACAGACTTTAGAGTCAGCTAGATATGGGTCAGGCTCCAGTTTTGACATTTACTAGTAGCTTTGGGTATATTTCTGATTCTTTTTAAGGTTCCCTTGCAGAACTAAGAAAATACCAACCTTACAGGCAGCAAATAATAGGATTGTCTTCTACTTTTTGTATTGCTAGTGGGATAAAATACTTTTCTCATTTGAAAATTTTATTTGATTTGCCTTCACTGCCCCACATTATACATCATTATCCTTAACCCTTTTAGACCAGTTAAATTTGGAGGCAAAAAAGACTGATAGGTATTGGTAGAGAAGATCTGAGCACTCTTTCATTGCTGGCAGCATTCTATCATGATGCAGTTTAAAAATCAGTGTAGAGTATTATATGTCAGCAACCTGGGATTTTTATATATTTAAGTCAGTCCAATCCTTTAGGGGATGTTGTTGTTTTTGTTGTTATGTGCCGTCGAGTCAGACCTGATTCGTAGTGACCCCTCCTTGGATTTTAGCACAAGGAAATAAAATTCAAAGATGGAGAAAAGCTATATGCAATGCAAAATTTACTATTGCAGCATTTTTATATATAATGGGATAAATTAGAAATAATTTCAAAGGCCAGCATTAGATAAGTAAATGGTGATGAACTTGATGGAAAAACGTAGCTATTAAAAATAGTGGTGATGATTTTAATTATGTTAAAAATGTCCCCTCCCAAAAGAAGAAAACACACACACACACACACACACACACACACACATATGTAATACAAATGTACTGTGTATGCAGCTTTTATAAATAAAGGGTAGTTTAACATAGTTATTAAAGGCATGGATGGATGTTAGAGACAAACTCCCCCAGTTTGAGCCCTGCCTGTGCCATTTATGTCAGTATGACCTAGGAAAAGTTATTTATTAAGCTTTGTATGCTTCTGTTTCAACATCTATAAAATGAGGATGGTAATATTACTTACCTCATAAGTGTATTGGGAGGATTTGGTGAGTCAGTATATGTAAAGCAGCTTCAAACAGTGTCTGACACTTAGTTATTGTTATGTAAGTATTTGCAGATGACAAGTTTGGAAGGGAACATAAAAAATGAAATGTTCTGTTAAGATGACAGGTGTTAGGATTTTTCTAAATATTAAAAATTTCACTTTTGGCATTATGTATTTTTAACAATAAATTTAAGGACACAAAAATTAGAGATTTTAGTATTATTAATTTTTTTTAATTACCTTAAATTAAACATTAGAAATAGTTTTAATGTTTATTGAGAATTAAGTGATGCTATATTAAGTAGTTACAAAATAAATTTTAGAAAAAATGTTTTAACTTTATATACTGTGATGCATTGTTTCTATAAATGTAATAGAAGAGTAGTTATAAATTATTAAAAACTGGTGTCTTTTTAATATGCTGTGTAGCAGTTAGAAAATATGAAAGCATTAAAATATACTATCATTAAAATATATATTTTATTACCTGTAGATGGCACTGTAATTTTAGAGATTTCAGTGAAGCCAAATCAAATATATATATATTTGTATTATTTGTAAATACTGTGGCCATGTAATGAGCTCTGGTGGTGCAGTAGTTAAAGCATTCAGCTGCTAACCAAAAGCTTGGCAGTACAAACCCATTAGCCACTCTGCAGGAGAAAGAGGAAGCAGGCTATTTCCTAAAGACTTACAGCCTTGGAAACCTAATGGGGTAGATCTGCTCTGTCCTATAGGGTCACTATGAATTGGAATTGACTCAGTGGCATTGGGTTTTGGTTTATGGCTATGTGTAAAGAAAGGATTACTAAATGTATTTCAAGTCACCATGTAACATATTCAGATGTTATTGATACGGAAAATTGTTTTATATGCCAATACTATTTGCCTTGTTATTAGTTTTTAAGTTTAAGGACTTTGATATACTTTGGACAAACTGAATGCCAGTCACCTTAGTTTCCAGAATTTTTTGGGATCAAAATGCCTTTAGAAGGATGAAGTTTGGATTAGTTTTAATTATCAGTGATACTGCCTCAATTTCAGTAAGATAAAACAGATTTAAGGGCTTTTTTATTAAGGTAAAAACACATTTTTTTTTTTTTTGTGAGTTGTAATAGACTGAAAGTCATTTGTAACTTTTGATCCAACTAACACTTACTATGTCAAGCACTTCCACATGTCTCATTTTCATTCCCACCATACCCTATAAACCAAATCAAACCAAACTCACTGCTATCAAGTGGCTTCCAACTCATAGAAACCCCCATTAGGTTCCCAAGGCTGTAAATCTTTATAAAAGTAGACTGTCTCATACTTCTGTGCAGTAGCTGGTGGGTTCAAATCACCAGTCTTTTGCTTATCAACCAAATGCCTTAACCACTACACTACCAGAGCTTCTTATATACTCTATAGGTAGGTAGTATTTTACCTTTTTGCAGATGAGAAATATCAGAATAGTTTATTGATCTGTTCGAAGTTAAACAGATTATCTTAGGCTAGGTTTTCTAGAGAAGCAAAAGCATTGAAATGTGTGTGTGTGTGTGTGTGTGTATGTGTATCAAGAAAATGGTTCACATAGTTACAGAGGCTGGAAAGTCCCAAGTCCCAAGTCCCAAGCTGGAGACTTTTCCCAACTCATGCAGCTGCAAGGTTGATCAATCCAAGACCAGCAGGTCAGATGGCAGGCAGCTGACTTAGGCTGCAGAGGCTGATGAATCCCAAGAACCAGAGGTCAGATGATGATGAGCCAGATGCAGGATCTAGAGCAAGCCAGTGAGCTTTGCCAGAACATCCATATACATATTAGATGCAATCACACTGATTGGGTGATCACATCGGATCAAATCATGAGGGATGATTACATTATTACATAACTGCCAAACTGCTGAGAATCATGGTCCAGTCAAGTTGACAGACGGCCTTGATCATCATGCAGACAGTAAGTGTTTGAACTTGGTTGTGGTTCCTAGATCAATTCTATTTCCATCTACCTAATATTTTCATTCTGAAAACATATTTTTGATAGAATACAATTTCTATAAACTTGTTGTTGTTGTTAGGTGCTATTGAGTTGATCCTGACTCATAGTGACCCTGTGTACAACAGAATGAAACACTTCCCTGTCCTGTCCATCTTCATAATACTTGCTATGCCTGAGCCCATTCCTGCAGCCAGTGTGTCAATCCATCTTGTTGAGAATCTTCCCCTTTTTCTGTGACCCTCCACTTTACCAAGCATGATATCCTTCTCCAAGCAATGGTCCCTTCTGACAATATGACCAAAGCAGGTGAGACGAAGTCTGGCCATTCTCACTTCTAAGGAGCATTCTGTCTGAACTTCTTATGGGATAGATTTGTTTGTTCTGGAAGTCCGTGGTATGTTCAGTATTCTTCACCAGTACCACAATTCAAAGGCACCAATTCTTTGGTCGGTCTTATTCATTGTCCAGTTTTCATGTGAATATGAGGCGATTGAAAATACCGTGACTTGGGTTAGGCATACCTTAGTCTTCAAAGTGACATCTTTGCTCTTCAACACTTTAAAGAAGTTTTTGTCAGCGCATTTGCCTAGTGTAATATGATATCTGATTTTTTGGCTGCTGCTTCCATGAGTGTTGTTTGTAGATCCAAGTAAAATGAAATCTGGCAACTTCATTTTTTTCTCCATTTATTGTGATGTTGCTTACTGGTACACTTGTGAGGATTTTTGTTTTCTTTATGTTGAGATGTAATCCATACTGCAGACTGTATTCTTCAACCTTCATCAGTAGGTGCCTTAAGTCATCCTCACTTCCAGCAAGCAGAGTTGTATCATCTTCACGTCACTGGTTGTTAATGAGTCTGCCTCCACTCCTGATGCTGTGCTCCTCATATAGTCCAGCTTCTTAGATTATTTGCTCAGCATACGATTAAATAAGTGTGGTGAAACAATACAACTCTGATGCATACCCTTCCTGATTTTAAACCATTCAGTATTCCCTTGTTCTGTTTGAATGACAGCTTCTTGGTCTATATGCAGTTTCCTCATGACCATGATTACGTGTTCTGGAATTCCCATTCCTTGCAATGTTATCCATAATTTGTTATTGTCCATACAGTTGAATGCCTTTGCATAGTCAGTAAAACACAAGTAAACATCTTTCTGGCATTTTTTGCTCTCAGCTAAGATTTATCTGTAAAAAAGTACGTGAGGACAGCATATCTGACCTCTTCTAACTTCACAAGAGGGAAACAGAATCACCATCATCTGCCCAAGGCTTATTCCTATGAAGCCAGACGTGCCACCTCCCTTCAACCTTTTTACTAACTCTGACACCAACCGCCCCTCCCACAGCACTCACTACTTCTCTGTTGGGTTCCATAATCGCAGTAGCCACACAGAACTCATAGACAATACTCAAGGATTATAGGGTTTATTGGGGAAGTAACAGGCTACAATTTAGGTTCAAGAACT